GGCACTTTTTTAGTACATTTTAAACCCCCGCAGCGACGCCAGTTGTCGTGTTGAAGGTGCAACTGCGAGCACATGCTGTAGGGTTTGCAATGATGGTCCTTGCGAGGTGCGGTAGAGTGATGCAGCCAATTGAATCTGCAATAAAGAAGGGTGAGGATGACTCGTGTCTTGTGAGGAATTAGGGTGAATCGGCGTAGCGGGACGAAACGGGAAGATTGTGTTACCAAAGGGTGGGGAGAAGGGGGAGAAAACAAGTGGTTCCCCCGCTAAAAAGAAATAATATTATGCTGCAAAGGGCAATTTAAAGTCTTGAGTAAAACGGGATATGCATACACTCTACCGGTACTTCTTAATATCAAGACTTTCCGTAAAATGGAATACCACTAAACAATCACCATTGGCAAATATAAAAGAGTAATCACACTAGTAGGGATGCTCATACGATAAAGCGTGATATAGATAGATGATGCTTGGAAGCACTTCTCCGCGGCCATCAGCGAAAAGGGAAAGTGTAATGGGAGTGACACAAACTCCGGAGAGGAATCGAGAGGTGTCGGCGGGGGAGAAGATAGCACAAGGAGTGTATATTTACGTCTTAGAAGCCCGCTAGCGCGAGTGGGTGGGGCGAGAGAAGGCTAGAATCGAAGGGAGGGAGGGAGGTGGATGCGTGGGTTGAGGGAGGGGGCGTCTGGCGGCCGTGGGCTTGGGCTGGTGGGGTCAGGAGGCCATGTTACCGCACGGCACAAGAGTGGGCTTTGTTTTGAGAGGCAAGCGTCTGATGCCAGGAGTAGACGATACTATTCCGATCTGCGGCTCGAGTGCATAGCCACGCACTCCATGATGGGAGAGTGAACTACCATCTTTCAAACCGATTTAATGTCTAAGAAAGCATCTTTTCTTTGTTACATACAATTATTGACGCATTACAGTCAATTTCCGGCATTGATCAGTTAAATGGCACAAGTTATAATGGGGTCACGGAAGACAAAGGTTTGTCTTAAAGACTTCCCTAAATACTTGGAGACACATCTAGGAAGCTGGGACAAAGATGCCGAGGAGGACAAGAGAGGAGAAGCGCCACATATGGTACTCTTAAGGTCGCTACTTACAATATTTTATGATTGTCTTCCAAATGTGCCGTTACATTGTGCACCTTAAAGTTTTGGCCTTGATTATATACACACACTTTGTTAGGTAAAAGTGGATAACACTTTCGCCAGCAATTAGGAAGTCTTTCTTGGTCAAACGTTTTGAGCACGAATACAAAGATCTGTTAGTTTTATAGGTCATGGGTGTCTGTTATATGTTCACCACAGTTTAAGCTTGCAAGAATTTAACAAAATTCTCCATTTTTTGCCATTTTGATATTGTGCGTTGGGTATATTGTAAGATGCCTAATTTGTCTGTGGAAGAGGCGGAACTGTACAGAAAATAATCTCTCCAGATTATTTAAAAATTGATATGTGATCAATTTTGCACCTATGTAAATATATAGTGTCTAAATCCCCTTTGGGGGTAATCCTTTCTGAGGCTAATAACCTAAATAAAAGATATTTTAGGACATGGTCACCAATGCTTGCATACATTTTGCTAAAAGGAACATCATCTAATTAGACTGGACTATTAATTGAGTAAAAATAAGTATCTGCATATTCTTTACTGATTGGCTTTGTTATAGGCTCACTAACAATGAAGCCTGACGTCTTACGTAACATAAAAGTTGCGTCGCTTCTCTTGTACACGTGGCACATACGCTTTAAATCCCAAGCTGAAAGGTGAATAGAAAATTGGCAACAGCGCTTCCAGCTGTAAAGCAACCAATCACACACAGCAAGGGTGCTTCTGCTAGCCAATCAACGAAAGCGTTTATTGTGACGTCACACCTGTAAACACGGAACAGCTGATGGGTCCACGCTGGCTCAGATAAACAAAGCGACGCTTCAGGGATAGACGTCCAGAACTGCGTGGAAACTTCGAGACTTCGCTAGATTTCTCCTCAAATTTTCGTGCTTAGGAATTGTTAAATTTCATTTCGCAGAAGGTGAGATATAGAATAGGGCCTTTCAACTTATTTTGTGAGTGTTTTTAATTTGAAGACACAACTAAAACAAGGAAAATATAGTTATTGATCGCTCAAGGCTAGAGACGAAGCTTTGCAGAGAACGGAGTTTACGTCGCAGCTGAGCCGTAGTGACAAGTGAATTCGTGTAGGGTGAGATCTCATTATGGTTTCGAAGAAATCATGATACAATATGTTCATGTTTTCTTTCTCGACATATTGAAGCTCAGTTTTTGGAATCTAACTTGTAGGTAATGATCACAACTTTCTCAAGTGGAAGTGCATTTTCTCTTTTCCTTCTAGATATTTAGTCATTAAAATGGGTTGTAACTATGCTCATTATGTACTACATTATGTTACATTAAAAGGGCAATGCCATGTAAGAGTAAGCAGTATGTGAAAGTTCCTAGTTATTGATTAACAAAGCTTTTTTTATTTCAGGAGTCCCCATTTGTTATTTACAACCCAGCCATGGGAAGCACAGAGGAGATAACAAAAATGAGGTCTGTCAAGAAGAAATTGGATATGGAGGGTGAAGAATCAGATTCTTCAAAGTCAAAGGGAACATCAGGTGATGCAAGTCCAGACCCCTTGGAACATGGAATTGATGATGACTTGAAGCCACTAGCAGAGGGAGAGGCCAAGATCTCTAAAAGTGACACAGAGAGTGACAATGAGAGTGAGAAAGGGGCCTGCAAACCAAGAGATAAGTCTTCTGAGGGGATAGATGTTCAAGGTGCCCGCTTCCGAAATGACAGTGAGAGCTCATCGGAAAGTGGCAAATCTCCAAGTTCAGAGCGCATGAAGAGGTAGGACATGATCGTATTTAATCTATTTTTAAACTGTTTAAGTTGTTGCTCTTTTGGAACCTAGGTAATATAAGACTGCTTTAATAATGATTGTTTTGTGGGTAGCAGATACTTTCATCAGAGGGTAGTATTTGAAGTTCATATACCTCAGTAAAATTCACTCATATCATATTTACACCAGCATCATTATATGTACTTTTTTATGTGAATACCACTTTTTATACTACATATATGATAGAATACAATTTATAGATGTATTTTCATGTTTATTGCAATAGTGACACTTACGTGTTATGTAGAAACGCATCTTACACTCTTTACTTTGTTGTGAAGGAAGTTTGAAAGTAGAAAGATATGTTTATTGTACTGATAATGTGAGATTTTCAAAGGGCCATTCATTTTATCATGCTTCCAGGGAAATGTGTGAGGATATCTTTGTGCTCTTATTCATTATGAAGTTCATTCTGTGACAAGTAAATATATCATATTCTTAGTTCTCAGTTGAACTGGACTTTTTATGTATTGAATTTAATATTAATAGTTCATTTTAAATATGATTGATTTATATATTTTATATGCAAGGCAACAATAGGTTTTTAATGCTTCATACCTCATTTTATATATTATTATTATATTTGTTTTCATTAAAAAGTGCAAACTTGTTATGCCTGTGATTGAAAACTGTCTCTGTATTAGGGATTAAAGTCCAAGTTTAGAAAAAGGGTAAAGGAAAAGCTGGAAGCTTGAACATAAATGTCCTTTTTTCATAAGTTCATACAGAAAAAGGAAAGTAGTTTAAATGCAAAGACTTGTACAGATTAGTTAGTATTAACATGCATAGTTAACCTTAGGAGGTCTATGCTATTAAAAGATCTATCTTTTATAGGAAAATTTGAATTTATTTTCAGCAACAAACCATTTGTAAGGTAATTTAATGTTTGTGATATGTGGGATAAATATATAGAGTTGCATTGTGGACTGGGATGAATTTTAAAAGTTTCAGAAGAACTGTGTAGTTGGAAATCTAAAGACTCAGCTTGAGGACAGAAGAGTTGGATCTATAAGCGGGAATGTGCACTGCAACATAAATCAGCCATCTAGACATAAATATCCTTGATGTAATTGGTGTAAGACCGAGGTGACACTATGTGCTTTATTTCTTCTTTACGGAAAAGTTTGGTTTCCTTGCTTCAAGTACAATTTTTATGTAGTTTTTGTACTTTGGCACTTTTACTTTTGATTTTGATTATGATTGTCTGGTTATGTTTTAGATTTAGTTTGTTGCTTTAAGTCTTATTTTGTAAGTAATATAGATTTTGTCAACATCTTTCTGTTTCTTTTTTTTAAACACACTTTACAGTAAGTCGGTGGTAAATTATAGTACAGATTATTTCACCCCCATCATTAATCATCAAAACTTCACAACAGATCACCCAACGAGATTCCTTGGCTTGGCTCGATGTTTGCCAGTCCCCATGTTTTCCGCATAATTGGTGCTGGCATTAAAAGGTTTCAAAGACATGGAAGGGTTTGTTTAACTTGTGAACTAGTTATTGTGTGTTTCTTTTGTTCTATTCTTTTATTTGATTTTATTGCGTAGCTAGTTTTCATGATGTGATGAGAGGAGTAATGAGCAGCCATGAGAGGAGCATTGAACGATTTTCCATCATGACTGATCGAAGCTTTAGATATAACAAGCCATGGCTGTTGGTTGCAATGCTCTCCACGTCATTTGCTCTGATTTTGTTTTCCGTAAGGAGAATGAGTGGACCCATGTTTGCTAGTTCTATGGAGGGTGATAGCCAGTTGCATATTCATAGGCATTGATTTGATATTTAATATAATAGATTGCATTGGTTTGCATTTTATTTGCTTTGTTTTTGAATATTTTTAGTAAGTGAAATTACGTGAATGAGGAATAACATATTTAGTAATATAGTATGGATGAAGCAGATAACATAGATATATAATGAATTATTGAAGTAGGAAGGTGTGTAATTAAATATTTCATTATTATAGTGTATGAAATAATCATAGTTTCCTCAGACACTAAGCAATGATCATGCACTAACTGGTAACTCTACAACTTGACTTGAAATATGTATTTTTTGCGATTGAAAGAATATATACAAAGTGTAAATATCAGAAAATTTTAATAGTATTGTGTTGTGTTTTGTTACTGTTTTCTTGATTTGTATTTTGTGTTTTCTGCATTTACAGTCATGTAATATACATAAGCATCATGAGTTTCTTAAATTTTCAGTTGATTTAATAAAAATAACACATTAGTATGTGCCATGGTTGTAAGTGTGCTTGACTCCCTTAAATATTTTTTTTTAAACACAATATTTAGGGATGAGTATAAGCACATGTGTGAGAAAATAACAGCTAAAACACAATTATTCCTTTGTTAGGCATTTAGGTTTATCTTGAGATTTGATTAATCCCTTTTTGGCTGCTAGCAGAAGTAGGAATGACGATCTTTTATTTTGGTATTCACAAATTTTTCTTTGAGCAGTTTTGTTGTGTTTCCTCTTACGTTGCACTGGCTTTGTTTGATATTAATGCCATAACACAGGAGGAGGGAGGTGACTAAACTTATATAAGGGGAGCTGAGGCCTTTTTTTTCTCATATTGAACATTTGAGTTACAGAGATGTAGCAGGTACTGAAGAATTGAAGAAAGGAAAAAAATGTGAATGTGCCACAAAAGAGAGTCAGTTATATACATCCAATGTGAATAGATAATGTCAGTTGTAATAATTACAGTGCCATTTTAGATGTACTCGTGTTTTGCAATGTGGAATAATGTATGCAGTGATGCACCCAACAATTTTTTTTTTCAGGGCAATAACAGGAATTCTTTCAGGTTATCCAAATTCTAGACTGTACTAACACCCCAATTAAAGCCATAGTATGGAAAAATGCAGCAGCTCCCTTTTACTACTGTTTACATACATACTACATACTACATACATACATACATACATACATACATACATACATACATACATACATACATACATACATACATACATACATACATACATACATACATTACATTACATATATATATATATATATATATATATATATAATATATATATATATTTATATATATATATATATATTATATATATATATATATATTATATATATATATATATACACACACATAAACCCACATATTCACTCACTCACTCACTCACTCACTCACTCACTCACTCACTCACTCACTCACTCACTCACTCACTCACTCACTCACTCACTCACTCACTCTCTCTCTCTCTCTCTCTCTCTCTCTCTCTCTCTCTCTCTCCTCTCTCTCTCTCTCTCTCTCTCTCTCTCTCTCTCTCTCTCTCTCTCTCTCTCTCTCTCTCTCTCTCTCTCTCTCTCTCTCTCTCTCTCTCTCTCTCTCTCTCTCTCTCTCTCTCTCTCTCTCTCTCTCACTCACTCACTCACTCACTCACACTCACACACACAAACTGACTATGATATTGTAGTGCAACTCTGGTTACTTAATTGTCAAGGATATCAACATCAGAATTTTCTTTACACCAGGCAACGGACTGTAAGTGGCTCCTCCCCGGTTCAAAACTTCATCTTCCCAGGCGTTGCAGCATCTCCTCCTAAATTCATGTCCTTAGAGGAAGTCATGAAAGCAGCAAAGGGAGTCAGCAACATGGTACTCGCACATGAGATTGCCGTAGACAAGAATTTCAAGCTGGAGAAGTTTGAACCTCCAGATAACAGCGTTGAGAAGCAGGTAAGGCAGTGTAACTCTCGCTTTTTTTATTCATTTTTTTTATTAGAGACACAGCTATCATGTTTAATAACCTCTAGATTTTACGTGAGCAGATATATGTCTTGACCCTTTCTATGTAAAGTTATTATTGGCTTCCAGCATTGCTAGCTGTGTGTTCGTATTCACTAAAAAGCAGGAGAACTTTGCGATTGTACTTAATGCAGAGGAATGGTCACCATCATCATCATCATATCACAGCATCTTTTAAAGTACTGTTAAGGTCATCAAAATTGCAAAACTGATAGTCAAAAACAAACTAAAATTCTTCCATTTTATGTGACACTTGTTAAGAAGTGAAAGCCATCATAAACCACCAAAAGGACAAAGCCTGTTATTTGCAAGCTGGATTGTAATTAAAGATTCATATGAAAGGATTAGCAACCAACTGATGAATGTGACCAAAGTTTTATTGCTATATTCTGCAAATCCTACAGCTATTATGGGTCATGTGGCAAACTGTATATATTGATATACTAATGTATTGTAGTTTCAACTGCACACCTTGTCTTGATATTGAAAAATTCTCTATGTAAATTAAGAAAAGTGATCAGAGCTGTTACAGTCCGTGATGTTTAGAATGGTCAGTATATGGTAACATGTCATTTATATTATGGTAACTCAGACTAACTAATTTTTTTTTATTAACACAGAGTAAAGTAAAGGCACCCTAATAGGAACTCGAATATAGTTCGCTACAGTAAAAGGATTAATGCCTTATTCTTTATATACATTTTATTTTAAGATAGTTAACATAACTATGTGATTTAGAGTTAAAGGGTTGTTATCATATTCTCTGTATTCATAGATAATAAAATGGTTGACTATGTGACGCAGTGTGATTTATACTCTAGATTTCACGTTTTGTTCCACTTTTTTAAGGTTCGTGATGTCATGCACAAAGCCTTCTGGGACCAGTTAGCAGAACAGCTAGCCCAGGAACCTCAATGCTATGAACAGGCTTTGATATTGCTCCAGGAAGTCCGGGACAACCTTTTAGACATCACCCTTCCTCACCACACTCGTTTGCGACAGGAAATCTCAGACACCTTGGATGTTGATTTGATCAAACAGCAGGCAGAGCATGGTGTATTAGATTTTAGTCAGTAAGTGAAAATTGGCATCTATTTGTTTTTGTTGTATCTTAACTTGTCTTTGTATTATGGGATCTCCTGTGGCACAGGAATGTTTTGTAATTCCAGCTGAACAGGTTGTTCTGTGTGAGATTTTAGAAATATGTAATTTATTTGCCCCATTTGTTTTTAGCATTAGTCCCACCAAGCCTTCTGTGTTCGAAAAATACCCGTTAAGAAAGAACAGAAGCTAAAATGAATTAAAAGAATGAAACATTCAACAAATGTTACAACAAAGATATTTTTGTTATAGCATCAGAAACAATTTGCCTTGAAAAAAAGAGCAAAGGCAGTTCTTAATACTGACAGGCTTCAAATACTTTGCAGGTATTCACAGTATGTACTTTCCATTATGGCTCGCCTCTGTGCTCCTGTTCGGGATGAAACTATCCGTAACCTTATGAGAGAAACAGAAATTGTGACGGTGTTTCGTGGCGTGATGGAGACTCTAGACTTAATGCGTCTTGATATGGCAAACTTCACCATTCAGCAAATCAGGCCTCACATCATTGCACAGGTATGTATAACAAGTTAGCTGTTTGGTCTTTTCCTTTCAGCATGTTCTTTGACTTTCTATTTGTTGAAGGTTCTCTTGTGTTTAGCACCCCAACACTAGTAAAATGTGTTGTAATTGCAAGAGACTATTTATATATGAGACATATAAAACAATATATTTAAGCCTAAACTTGATATAACCCCTCCCCACTGGGTAGCATGTATATGCATGCCACGGCTGTTGTTGACCAAGTAGTGTGTGGCATCACACCAAGACCATTCCCGCACTGTTGGCTCATCAGATGGAGCTTCTTTTTCTCCGACAGTAGCAGCATCATTTTTATGGTGAAACTTTTAGGCAATAGCACCTAAAGTGAAGGTAAACCTTCACATTCCTAATTGCAAAAAAAGAAAAAAAGAAATCAAAATATAATCTTTTAGGTGCCTAATGTTGCCCACAAACTACTGAACGAGCCAAGCATAAATGGGAAATTGTTGATGTGCGCCAGCGCCAACCAAATTTTTAACCCTTGGTCAATGTGTTAATATGATATATATTTATTTAGCTTATATTGATAATCTTTCCATCTGCAGAGTGTAACTTATGAGAAGAAGAAATTTGCTGAGTTCCTCAAGACACAAAATGATGGCCTGGAGTTGACGAGAGATTGGCTTATAAACCATGTTAGAGAAGACGACATTGAAGGGGCAGATGAACTTTCGATGAGAGGAATAGTAGGATCGGTCATCAGTCGAGCTTACTTGGAACTCCTGTCATGGTCGGATGAGAAACTGTTACCAGAGGTACACTGAACGACTGAATTATGTTAAAGCTATATTCACATTGTTATAGTTTTCTTACTAATTTATTTAAGCCTATACTCAAATACTGTATAATGATATCTTACAAGAGTAACATGCAACATAAGTACTATATAGTTCACATTATAACTGTATATCTTTGTATTTTTGGTTATCTGATGCAGTGATTTGCCTTTCAGACTGTGGTAATGGATGGTGGCAGAATCTTCGAGCTTCGTGACCGCCTAAGCCAAGTTTGCATCCTAGGTTCAGTGTTGCTGGTCACAATGTCCTCAGTGGGACCCATGATCACTCAAGCAGATGCCTTCAAGCTCAAACTAAAACGAAATCTCTGCATCATTCTCGATCCAGCTCTGTCAGATAGGTATGATTTTACCCGTTGATGTTGGGAGGGGATAAATAAGTTATAAGGAGTCTTTTACACTGTTTCTTGAATATTTGGATTTTTTTAATGCAATAATTGTCTTTTTTAATAACATATGGTCATAATGATATTTCAAGACTAATAAGGATGATGATAGTAATTAGAGATAAAACTTTTTTTTTTTTTTAATTAAAGACGTTGGGTAGTAAAGGTATGAATGAGAATTAATATCTTCACGTTAAAAGAGAAATATTTAAATATATCTCTTGTACTGTGAAGATATTCATTCTTATTTATACCTTTTTTTATATTTTTCAACATGAGTATGGTACATGAGGTAGACAGTTAAGATCAGGAAGGTCTAGTAATTAACTTCTATGAGAGAAATGCTTGCAAAGCCACATATACGTTTGTGAAATCAATAAAACAAAACCACAGTGGTCATTGCATGAACTCTACTAGTGGGTTCTTCCTCTGTTGTTGCTAATGGATGTTAGAGCATTTGACCATTCTAAGGTACCTATACTGTACCAGTAGAATAATCAGCCCTGGATGAACCATGAAGCAATATAAGTTAGTGCTTAGGCTAGAGAATTGTATGGAATGCCAGAGTCATACAAAGTGCCAAATGCAATGTTCTCAAGGCAGCAAACTTGTATTGATTGTACTTAATATTATCAACCAGCTATTGTCACTGTTCTTGAATTGTGAGTTAGGCCAAATTTCAGAATTAGGTGGCCTTCATGCTCTCCTGAGAATAAGGATACATCATTCTGTTTTTACCAAAGGCGGATCATTGATTATTTCAAGTACTATACCTCCATAATTGATTTTTCACCTAGTTTCCCATATGCAGGTTATAGAAAATATAGACATTGTTATTATTTATGTATTTATTCATATATTTTTACTCTTGCATATCTGCAGTGAGACCATGGCACTGATGGAAAATATTGCCGAACAAGTGGTAAAAGAGGTTGAAGATCACCTGAGTGAAAACGAGAAGCCACCTCTTCCGACATCAGCAAAGGTTGCTCTAAAGTCACAAGTCCTTGAGATTAAGAGCCCAGACCATCGCATTAGAGCTCTCATAAGTAAGTGTTGTGATTTGCAATTAGTAATTTTTAACCAGGTTGTCAGTGATATACACCATATTTTATTGTGATTGCAGCTATCTGACTTGTGAGCATCACTGTTACTTTAGATCTGATAAACTCAGATTTCTGCAATTTAATGGGAATGCAAATAGAAAATTTAAACAGGAATCAGTCAGTCATTTCTGTCAATGAGGGAGGACTAATTCAATTTTCTCCTACAGTGAAGAGAGCAATGGAATTCATTGGCACACTACTGAGTTCCACCACAGCCCGCCCAGTGCAAATGCCCCCTGGACTTTCAACTCTGCAAGAAGAGCTAGCAAATATCTGCGGCACTTTGCTCCGTCTTGTGACACACAACAGAAATGTCTTTGGGGAATATTATTCAGATATCATCACCAACCACATAAAGGCTAAGAAAGAATATGTTCAGTCAGCAGATGACAAAGAACAGGTGGAAGAGAAGAAGGAAGGAGAGGAGGAGAAGGAGGAAGCCCAGCAGGAGGAAAAAGCCAAAAGTGAGGTAGAAGCATAGTTCTGTGATGGAAATTAATGGTTGAGTTTGTGTGAAAGGGAAGAAATTGTGAAGTAAACATGAATGTACAGTTATATATTATATGTACATATACATTAGATAAATTCATTTCAAGATAAGCATTAGTGTTCTAAGTAAATTTTGAATCTTAAACACATGCTAGAAAAGGATGAATCTCAGATCAGGTTAACAATCAGTTTCCAAAATATACAAACAGGAAAATAATTGAAGTATGAAATGTACTCATCTACTGATTAATGTAAAAGACTTATTCATAATTGATCTTGTATAGTAATAGAAATATGTTCATTTTAGGCTTACTGTTTGTGGAAATGTAAAACAAAGAAATGAAATCACACCAGGCACTCAAGAAATTAAACAAAAACAGTTGCATGAAAAATATAAAAGACACTTTCATAGTACATATGTTTGAAATTCTCACAGACCTTGAAATTAAAGTGAGTGACAGAACAGGTTTACCTTCTATTACGCATAATTAAAGTTACTTCTCAATTACTTTTCAATGTTTCTAAGTCCATTGGTAGGCATCCAAGGTGCAGTTCTCAATTGCTATGGTGCCTGATGGAATATGAATTTCCAACAACTGTCTGTAAGGGTCATGCTTTGTGTTGAAGAATGGTGGTCCAAACATCCTGAACTAGAACAGAATTGGCAATGTTTTTTTATTCTGCTGTATTATGAAGCAATGTGCCAAGATTGAAGAGGAAAATGTGCTACATGTGACAAGCTGAGTAGAAAATTGTGTAGATATGCAAATATCATTAAAAAAAAATATATAAAAAGAAAACAAGAAAAAATACATAAAAGTCCAATCCAAACTACCAGAAACACGAACACCCCAGTGCTATGAAAAAAAGGTGTAGAATTTAGATCGGAAGAGAAGGATATATAAAAAGTTTTTACCATATGTTATGGGAAAATAAACGTACGTAGAAAATGAAACAAAATAATGTATTAAAAAAGCAATCAGTGAATTTTCTGACATGATAGAAAATAGTGGAAAAATGCATATGTAGGAGTGCTTAAGTTCCTATGTATTATTCTTACTATTTAATGTCGTCATTAATTAGGATGGTGCATTTCTGTTCAGCAGTCACAAATGGATGTGAGAATATCTCTGCTAGTACTGAGAAGGATGCTTTGCTTCTTCATTCCATTGGATATAAAATAAAAGATAAAAATTGAGGAATGCTTATTTAGGGGCTTTGACGGACTATATATTCATTCCTGTTTTTTTTTTATTATTTTAGGTTTACATTTGATGTGAAGTAAAATTTTTCAGTTTTATTTACGGTATTCTGTATTGTGTGTATTGGATAGCTTCTTGGATTGTTTGTATTAGTGAGAATGAGGATTTGGTGTAATCTTAAGGATAGGCAAGTTGTTGTACAGTATTTTTATAATATAGAATCATGTATGCCCATATCTGGCCGGAGATGGAGCAGACATTAATGCAATATTTTTAAGGTGGTTAAGCCTTGCATAATTTCCTTTTTTTAGTAACAGTGTACTAACATAGTATGTCTTTCATATTTAGTTTCTCATATCTTCTAAAAATATAAATGTGATATTGTTAGTGAGGTGTCCACCCTAAAAAGGAAATTGACCACATTCTGTTCATGGTGGACTGGCTGTATGAATGATGTGTAGAGTAAACTTGAGTGTTGTGGTTTGTTATGTGTAACATGTCGACAGGTCTGCAATCTCGTGAGGATTTTCTTTTTTTCATGGTAGCAGTCAAGGCAGGCTTTAAGGAATACTTGTGCTCTCTGAGGGATGAAGGCAACAAAACCTGAAAAAAATATTTGAAATTCTGCTGATATAGGACAGCATGAAGAATTATAAAATTTTCTGGTGTGTAAATTGACTAACCATTAGTGCCTGTTACTGGCCTATGTATGTTTGTGTGTACATATTTGCATACTTACATACATATATCTTTACATACATACATACATACACATGTGATTAAAGTATATACATATTTGTATACATGTACATTCAATATATGTAAAATCATACATACATGTAATAACCATGGTTATGTTACGTATACTCAAGATCATACTTAACATTAAGAAAATGGTATGCCTTTGTCATAAGGCATATGTTAATTTTGATATGTCAGGCAGTAACACTCCTATAACCTAGTCAAACTGTATGATGCATTAAACTTCAGACAAACCTGGTAAATTTGATTGGAGAAAGTCCTGTACTGTTATTGTGATATGATTTGTGTATTTACAACATTTACATTAAAGGAAATTTTTCTTGTAGAAAAGTTCAGTCATGGTAAGAGAAATGAATTGTAGTTGTGCAAAAGGAAGAGTGAATATCTCTGACCTTCAGATAGCTTCAGTACAACAGATCAACTTTATATATTATAAAGATAGCTTCAGTACAACAGATCTGTAATATAAAATGCAGATTTGTTTCAAATACCAGTGTAATGCAGTTATGTTAAATATATTAGACTGACTGCTAACAAGGGAACTCCTGAAATTCCCTGCAAGATCTGTAAACCTTTCATCAGTAATTTAATCCCTATCATATATAGGCGGGGCATGAACTAACTTTTATGGCTTCATTTATATATTCTTAAAATTACCTTGTCTTGTAACTAGATGGGGTCACAGACTGTCAACTACTAAAGACAGGCAGAATAATCTAAAGCAGGCTATATTTTAACATTATTCAAAAACTAAATCATAATGAAAGAGGATGAGAAACTTGAAAATGTATTATGTATTTTAGATACAATACAGTGAGTCTCAACAATACTTTATGGATCTGATTTATGTTCATATTTATTTGTAAGTAGGCTTTTGCTGGTGGCTTACACTTGATCTTTACAGATGAAAATAAATATATTTTGAAAAAAACAAAAAACAATGAGCAAGTGTACTGGAAGACTTCATAATGATTTGCTTAGAAATTCTTATATATATCTCATGTATGTTACTGTAACATGAGTGAAAGGATGATGATAATTCAAAGGTGCAGTACTGTGTGTAGCAGTTGCTTTCACACTGACACTTTCTTCCTTTATTTCAATCATATCACTATTTTTGTAATCATTATATGTAAGGTAAGTGAATCCAGTTTTTAAAAAAACCAAACTTTGCATTTTGTTAGTGTTCCATGAGCACTATATTGAGCACATAAAATCAGGGTTGTTGAGTGAACAATTAGTATTCTGTTCAGAGTGCATCTGTATGTGTTTGCAACTAAGCATGTATATACATTTTGGTTATGTTATGTAGGAACATATTTTTTTTCTCATCATTAAATCTTTCATTTTATACCATTGTTCATTTTGTGAATCCTATGGCCTTTTGTAAATTTTTATACCAGCATGGGTGACTGTTTCCTTTTTTGTGGGAGTAAATGGTATATATATGTAAATTTAACCACCATATAAGAACTGATACTTAACTATAAATATATGCAGTTCAACTTATTATGAACTTATAAGTAAAGAACAAAATAAATGAAAAAAAAGTTTTGTTTACTCTCTTTCTTTCCTGAGAGAACATGTAAAATTTATTTTAAGAGGATTAGTTAAGTAAAAGCTTGTATCATGAGTTGAAGTCTATGCATGGCAATAAATAGACCTATATAAAAAAAAACCTTTCTGTACGTGTGCACACACACACAGACGAAAACACACTCACTCACTCACTCACACTCACTCACTCACTCTCACTCACTCACTCACTCACTCACTCACTCACTCACTCACTCACTCACTCACTCACTCACTCACTCTCTCTCTCTCTCTCTCTCTCTCTCTCTCTCTCTCTCTCTCTCTCTCTCTCTCTCTCTCTCTCTCTCTCTCTCTCTCTCTCTCTCTCTCTCTCTCTCTCTCTCTCTCTCTCTCTCTCACTCACTCACTCACTCACTCACTCACTCACTCACTCACTCACTCACTCACTCACTCACTCACTCACTCACTCACTCACTCACTCTTCTCAATCTCTTACTTGTCTTAGACATCCTTTTACATGTCAAATTCATGACTGCAGTATGTTGTCATCAATTTTCATTGTGAGATAAGTAGGCATAATTTTTGGTGTTTGTCTCCTTAGAACATGTTGGAGATTAGGATTGTAAAACTGGAGTCCCACTAGCCTTACCAGAAGGGAACCAGACTCAAGTCAAGGATAATCTACCCTTTGGCTGGGCCTTTATCCTGGAGAACCAGACAAAAGCTTTCTTTGCCTAGATTTTGGTAATATTATTATGGGCAGTTAGGATTCTATGGCTATTGACACTTTTAAGAGGCTCTTAAACATTAATGTGCAGTTATGACAATCAGTAACAATTCTGAAGTCAGGCATGCCTAGCCAGGGAGTCTTGATTATAATAGAAGCAAGACAGGAGGCTGGGGGCCAATGGTGGATCAAGGACAAAACAATTTTGGTAGAACCCAATTCTTAACCCTTTGTATGGTGGTACATGCACTGTCCACTAGGAATCTTGTTACACACAAATGGTTCCACAAGTGTTCAGCCATTAAGGAGTCAATCAGGATACCTACAGGGCTTCGTCGGATTTCCCCATTCCATAAGTGTTTGGAATTTTTTTTAAAGCTAATAATCCAATGAGTTTAGTTTATTGCCTTTACACATAGAGAGCTCTAAAAGTTATTTAGATAGCTTCTTATACATTTAGTTATAATGGAGTCAATTACCAGTACTGTATGTCACCTATTTACTACTATTTTTCTTGTTTTTTGGAAATATTCTCTGTGGCTTCATTGCTATTAGTAATGTTAGTGACCTTATAATAATCATAATGTTTAAAATAAAAATAACAGCATCGATACTGAAAGCATTTGTAAAAACTCAAGGAAAGGGTATATCAAGTGAGGTCACGAGGACTACTAATTGACTCTGGTGTATAGAGACATTTCACAAAAGAAAACTCAAGTGAACATTAAATTTCCCCAGCGGTATGGAAATACTGATGCTATTATTACTCCGCTGGAAATACTGATGCTATTATTATTATCATTACTGATTTAATGATTCTTATAATGTTATTAAAATACTAGTAGCAATAAGAAATAAAGACTTCTTACTGAAAACCAAGCTAAAGGGGAAACACGTGGGAAAGGCTGTATTAGTAATTGGCTCCTTAGTGACTACATACTTGTGGAGCCCTTTTAGTATAAGCACAATTAATACCCTAAAATCACATCCACACAAATAATAAACTAAAATCACACTGGATGTGTTATGCATGTCATACAGTCTCGGCTCAAATGGTGAAAATTTAAGTATTGTTACTTGCAAGGCTTCTGTAATTAAAGGATTCATTTAAAAATACTTCAAAGAAGAGAACAGGTCACTTTCAAAATACAATTTCCCGACATTACAGACGAAAAGTGCTCATTATATATTAATTCAAACCTCATTCCTTACTCTGCCTTTCTATTTACTTACTCATCCACACTTGAGAAACTGCCTCTTCCAAAATAGGTCAAAGCTTGTATCAACTTATCAATCCCATATAGCACGACAGATTAACATATCTACTCAAGTAAATTAACCCAATGTTGATGGGAAAATGGCGCATTCCCTTTGGCAATGCTTGTTTAAATGTTTCTACACATCGATGGCTCTGCCAATGCTTAGCCGCAAAGGAGTCAATTAATAGATCTTTCGACCTCACTTTTCCTCAAAAAGTGGGAAAATGCTTTTTTTTTTTACTAATGCCATCAATATTGACACTGTTATTTTTGTTAAAAACATTATAATTACTATATTGTTACTGACTTTACTAACAGCAGTAATAATATTAGAAAATATTATCGTAAATCAAGGAAAAGGGTAAACAGGTGAGACAGGTAGTTTGCGGAATTGACTCTTTGGTGACAGTACTTGTGGAGCCATCTATATGTAAAAATAATTACAAAATTCAACAAACACAATGGGCAATGGCATGTATGAACATGCCATGCCCGGTGGCTTGGGGTTAATAAAGAAAACAATATCTGAAAGCAATACTTCATAGAGACATACAGGCTCCCATCTGTCTCGCATTTTAAGCTGACAAAGTTCAAATTTCAGAACCTTAATAAATACCTTATTAAGATGAAATATCTGATCAGAGAATCTAATGTTCATCCAAAATAAAACATATTCACAAGGTACAATAGTAAAATATGCACATAAATGACTAAATAAGAATAAAAAACAATTTATCAGCTAAGAATACTGATATTTATAAAGCAATAAAAAAATACTGGAATTTCTATAGGACTTCCTATCAGTCCAATCCAATGTAGGAACTGGAGATGTTTATGGCCTTGAATGTTTTATTGTTAATCACTATTATAGTGCTTTTATCTAACCTGGTTAAAAAAAGTTATGTCTATAAATAAGATTAAATATTCCTTAGCCTTGGAAAAAATTGCATTAAAAAAATGGTTTAAAAGAGATGCAAAGTGAATGGAGGTTTGAATAAGAAAGGTTGTATTCTTGAGGCCCAAGAAACTATGTCTACATAAATACAAAAGTCACAAATGATGGATGAGAAAAACATCAAACATTTAATCAAAAACTATATTACCGTACCTTAGTTTCACATACCAAGAATATGAAATTTAGACTGCTTTTAAATAAATTATGACCTAATACTTGTAATTTATCAACAGTGATACAACACAAATAATAAATACTATTTCAGACACATCCCTTCAAAATGTTGGCAAGAATGACCAATTAAGCAACAAGATTTAGTCTAAGAAACATCAAATAATAAACTTCTTGTTATTATTTGAACACAAACAAAACCAAGGTAAACTGTACCCAAGTAGACATGAAATGAGTAAAAGAAGTCAATTTAGAAAGCTCATAAATTAGATAGTATTATTCTAGGGAAAGGTGTATATTTTGTGAAGTGATACTCACACCAAAATTTCAGTGCTAATAACTTTTTTTATGTAGATTTTCATATTCTATTTATTTACAGTATATAATAATACATATACTCTTAATGTGGAAACAAAGATTAATGTATGTCAAGCAATCATTCCAAAATTATTTGCTATCTCAATTTAGATTACAAAATTCCATTATAACAGCTGATCATTTAATTAGTAATTAAGGAAGCTTTTGCTTTAAACTTCATCTCATGTAGTGAAGGTATATTGTATATAATATGGCTCTTGAAAATATGAACCATATAGTTGAACAAGTTCAGAGCTGAGAACTGAGACTAAAAAGTCATAATTTTGAATATTGTTCTCATACCAAGTTATGGACTTCTAGCTTACTGGCTGGAAATAGAGAAGCTGATGTCAGTCATGCATATTTCAGCAAATATATTCAGCTCTTAATGTCCTGTCAAAATGCATATTACTGTTCTTTTTATTTGAATATTTCTTCCTTTCATCTCATTTCTTTCTGTATTTCAATCATTTATACCTTTATGCTACCTCACTCTGCTGTTTTCTTGAAATTAATATCAAAACACATGACTCAAGACATATGCAAAAGATACTGATAACAGTATACAACTTCAGCATTTAGTATATCTGTGTATCTATTACTAATCTGCAACATCTTTGGGACTTTTATAGAGGTATTCAAAGCAAAATACATATTCAATTCTGAAATTTATTTAAAAATTACACCATAAGCATGTTTACACAAAGAACAATGCCTGGTAACCATAACAAATATACTTTGATATCATTCTGTAACACAACAAAAATTTGGGAATCATCTGCCGCAATACAAGGAGAAAAAACGGCTCAGTGGTTTGGCTTCCTAAACACATTTCAGTCTTACCCTCTCTTCACCACCCCTACTTTTAGCCAATGATCTAGAGCAGATGTGACAATAATTTCAGCTTCTTCCTTCCTAATATTACTTATGACATTTCGCACACCTTCCACGGACGATGTTGCAATTAATGGTCGCCTCTGATGGACAAGCATTGCTACAATCACGAATGACAGGACTCTAAAAGCACCAGCAAAGATTTTATCCAGTATCTTCTCAATGGCTGTCTCTGGGAAGATATCACAGAATAGGCTGAAGCACTGATGTTTTAAGAGACTGCTGGAGAAGAGACCCATTTTGAACAGATGGAGGTGGAGGTAGTCATTTTCTTTACGCAACATGCCAATGGCATCTTGGATAGCATCTAAGATAGCCTGCTCATTCTTTAGCAAAAGTGACCATATGGAGGCACAGACATGGTAGATATCTACTGGAGTATCAAAGAAACAAGACACCTTTCTTGCAATGGCTATGAAGTGTTGATTTTGTTTTGTTCGTAACTGCTGTCTGATGTCAAAGAGAAGTTTGGCTTCACTCATCAACCACATCAGGAGGTAATGCTCTGGAAGAGGTACATCTGACCAAGGCTTACTTCCTGAAGCAAATTTAGTGTTACCAGCATTTCCAAGGGAATCATGTCCATTGACTGTTTCTTCCCCTAATGTGGCAACATTTCCAAGACCCAAAGATTTAAGAGCACGCCAGAGTTCCT